CTGGGGCTAACACCACATGAGGCTTTGCTTGGCCGGCCAATGCCTTCACCCATGTACAGAGCCGTGAAGGGTCCATCTTTGCCCAAAGTGAAACTAGGAGACTTGGTGTATGTTAGAGTATTTCTGAGAAAGTGGGACTTTCCTCGACATGAAGGTCCATACGAGGTGGTCAGTGCGACTGTCCGTGCAGTGCAGGTGAAAGGTTCACCTACATGGTATCACCTAAACCACTGTGTGAAGGTCCCTAAGGACACAGACAGCCCTGAGGCAGAAGTGGTGCAAAAAGAAGAAAATGAACATCACCTGGAGCAGCAGCCAGTGTCAGAGGAGGCGAGTGAGCTTGATACTCCTCCTGACAGTGATATTGGTGTAAGAAATTCTTGATAAAATGGTATAGTGCTATGTTATATATATATTTGCAAAACTGTTCAAATAACTGTTTAAATCTATTTGACCTTTGGAAAATGCTGTGAGTAGGTGAAGTGCAGAGTGAGACTCACAACAACAGGAAGTGTGCGCAGACAGAATGAGATGACTAAACTGCACAAGAATAGTGTGTGGGTGTAAGGTCTGATTGGCTTGACTTTGGATTATCAACATTGATCAACATATGAAATTCTAGAATTGACATTATAATCTGCATTAGCAAATATGTCCACATGTTTATTTTCATATGTATTGTAATAGTATCATATGCTTTATGATTGACTTGTGTTAACCATTTCATTGGCTGCAAGAATAGAGGAGACATGTGTAAGGCTGTAAGAGGAGACAGGAAACCACATACAGGAAGTAGACCAGGTCTCCTAGCAACGGTGGCGCTCTTCCTGAACCTGCAGACAACAACTAACTGTTTATAAAGACGTATGTAGGAGGGTAATGTCTAGGTCGAAAGGTCAGGATATGTTGTACAGAGGATTCAAAATCTGCCTGGTGACAAGATCATCAAATGAGGGGTCAGATTAGAACGAGGTCAAGAAACCAACCAAGGAACGAGGATGAAGGACAACCAGGCTGACGTCAGATTATTTGCATGACTCTCATCATAAATTCTCTGTGCAGAGGAAACTCGTGGTTCCACCTTCCTGCAGCAGCTTGCACTGACTTCTCTGTGATAGGGCTTCAGAAAGAGACGGAATCCAGAGCTCTGTATTGCTTTTCCAGAATATTTTGCCTTAAATATTGATTGTAATAAATATCTCAAAAGACAGATTTGTCTTTGACCATTCTTCATAAAAGAACATGCAAGGACCGGTTTTGTCCAAACATTGGTCATGATCCAGCTGTACTTCCACTTCCTTAACTCTCCAGAGGAGGGAGAGTAAGGGAGAGATGATGAAGCTGTGGTAAGAAGTAAAAGGGCTGCACCTAGGGAATGGCCAGGTGTGCAAGAGTGGACATCGAACGTTAAAGATTGGAGATATATGGAGCATGACATTTGGGTTGCGCATATGTCTAAGCAACGCTGGACTTCGAACATAGACGCTTTCAGTCTCTTTGCGTATTCAGATCAAATACCTGGAAGACGTGTGTGTGGAATCGAGTGGATTTCTGGATGGTGGGCAAGCAGACCCCCTGACTCTTGGGGAGAAGATCAGTGTTCCCTCAA